TGCATATCTGAGGTTGTTGATATTTCTCCCAGAAATCTTGATTCCAGCTTGTGATTCATCCCGTCCACATTCCAAATGAAGTACTCTGCATATAAGTTAACTAAGGAGGGTGACAATATACAGCCTTAAGCACTCCTTTCCCAATTTGGAACCAGTTCATTGTTCCATGTTGATTCTAACTGTTGCTTCTTGACCTGCATACAGGTTTCTCAGGAGGCAGGTAAGATGATCTGGTATTCTCATCTCTTTAAGAATTTACCACAGTTTGTTGTGGTCCACACAGTCAAAGGCTTTGGTGTAGACAATGAAGCAGAAGTAGTTGTTTTTCTAGAATTCTATTGCTTTTTCTATGATCTAACACATGTTGGCAATTTGATCTCTGGTTTCTCTGCCTTTTCTAAATCTGTCTTGAACATCTGGAAGTTCTTGTTTCACATACAGTTGAAGCTTAGCTTGAAGGATTTTGAGCATTATATTGCTAGCATGTGAAATGAGTGTAACTGTACAGTAGTTTGAACATTCTTTAGCACTGCCCTTCTTTGGGATTGGAATGAAAACTGACCTTTTCCAGTCCTGTGGCCACCTCTGAGTTTTCCAAATTTGCTGGCATATTGAGTGCAACTGTATCATCTTTTAGGATTTGAAATAGCTCAACTGGAATTCCATCACCTCCACTAGTTTTGTTGGTAGTAATGCTTCCTAAGGCCCACTTGACTTCATACTCCAGGATGTCTGGGTCTAGGTGAGTGACCACACCACTGTAGTTATCTGGGTCATTAAGACACTTTTTGTACAGTTCATCTGTTTATTCTTGCCACCTCTTCTTCACCTAAAAAGGTTTTCTTATCTCTCCTTGCTATTCTTTGGAACTCTGCATTCAGATGGGTATATCTTTCCCTTTCACTTCCCTTCTTTTCTCAGCTATTTATAAGGCCTCCTCAGACAACCATTTCACCTTATTGCATTTGTTTTTCTTTAAGACGGTCATTTCTTCTTTTTGGTTACTGCATCCTATACAATGTTACGAACCTCCGTCCATAGTTCTTCAGGTACTCTATCAGATCTAATCCCTTGAATCTATTTGTCCACTGTATAACTCTAAGGGATTTGATTTAGGTCATACTTGAATGGCCTCATGGCTTTCCCTACTTTCTTCAATTTAAATCTGAATTTTCCAGTAAGGAGTTCATGATCTGAGCCACAGTCAGCTCCCGGTCTTGTTTTTGCTTATTGTATAGAGCTTCTCCATGTTTGGCTACAAAGAATATAATCAATCTGATTTCAGTATTGACCATTTGGTGATGTCCATGTTAGAGTTGTCTCTTGTGTTGTTGGAAGAGGGTCTTTGCTATGAACAGCATGTTCTCTTGGCAAAGCTTTGTTAGCCTTTGTCCTGCTTCATCTTGTACTCCAAGGCCAAACTCGCCTGTTACTCCAGTTATCTCTACTATCAGTTACCTTTCAAGAAATAATAGCACCACAGTGGCACAGTCTATGATTCTGTCCAAATTCAGGCACTCTGTGAAAGCCAGGTCATACGTGGCTCACTCTAATTATTATTATTTTTTGATACATAAGAGGTAGATTTATTTTGAGAGAAACATATTCTACAGACAGATTGTAACCTATCTCAGAAGGCAATAGGCCACTCCAGTTGTTTTAAAAAACTGTATTGATGGGTTCTGGGGACTTGTTTGGTGGTCCAGTGGCTGGGACTCCATGTTTGATCCCTGGTAGGGGAACTAGATCTCAAAGGCCGCCCAGACCTGCTGCAGTCAAATAAATTAGGGAAAAAGAAAACCCAACTGTAACGATAGGTTCTGCAACCACTAAGTCTATTCAGAGCTTGAGTGAAATCACTTGTATCTAATGCTAACGTAATATGTACAGCAATTTATTGTTAGACACTAAAAATTAAACAGAAATCACCAGTGATTTATGTCTATATTTTAACTTTATTATTATTTTTTAAAATTTTATTTATTTATTTAGGCTGGACTGGGTCTTTGCTGCAGCATGCAGATTCTTCATTGCAGTGTGTGGACTCGGTTGCATGTGGGGTCTTAGTTCCCTACTAAGGCTGGAATCTGCAGCACCCGCACTGGAAGTGGATTCATAACCACTAGACCACCAGGGAAGTCCCTTAACTTTATTATTGAACATTCCAAGGCCACAGAGTAAATCAGCTGAATAAATGGCATTAGACAAAGAGACGTTGTACCTTGCAATTAGACTATACATATTCTTTTTCTTTATTTTTATACTTTTGCAGCTTGCATTTTGGACAAAGGTAAGTCTTGTTATTTCTCCAATGGAACTGATGGTCTGTATTTGTTTCTTCTTCCTCCAGGCAACACATACTACCATTTATTCTTCTGATTCATTTCTCCGGGAAAGCTGAAAAGAAGTTTTATAACTATATTATTGGTTTTGTAACTAGTGTTTTCATTGTAATCCTATTACTGAACCAATGTTGTGATAAATGGTCTGTTTATAAGGGGAACCACTTTTACAAGAAGTAGAAAATTAGACACGCTTCTGCTTTGCAATAACAATAAAAACCACAGTGAAAAAATATTCTCCAGCTTATTCCCATCTGTATCAGCAGGGAAGCTTTAGAAGATGACTTTCTCCCTAAGGCCTTCTAAACACAGTTACTGCCTGTGAGTACCAAGTCAAAATGCAGTTTTCCTCCAAATCCAATTCAAAACCAATCCATTTTAAGTTACAGTAACCGTGGGCCCTTTAAGAAAGTCAAGCACTTTAAACCCCACCCCTCTGCGAACTGGTAGCAGTTAAGTCCTCTCTCCGAATACAGTTGGTGATAAAGCTAAGAGAAAGGTAACTTGTCTCCTGAGTGTTTCTATGTAAGCTCTAGAGGTGGAAGCTTTAAGATACTATGGGCTATGGAACAATGGAAACTTGTGAAGAATGGAAGCCAGACTGGCTCTTAAAAGATTCTATCACAGTGCTGGATAAAGTGGAAAGAATGTTAAGTCTGGGTTTCCCCCTTTGGTGCTGCTCCCTGCTAGCTTTACTCCTCCATTTCACCCAGCAAGTGAGTTTTCCAGAAGCTGTTTCCAGTTTAACAAGCTGATTGTCTGCTCTAGCAGATTCCCAAAAGGAAAAGTCAGGGAGAAGAGCAAGTTTCAGTGAAAATTAAACTGGTCACTTCTAACAGAGTTATTTCCATTGGCTGAACATTTCTGAGGAGCACAGTAACTCTTGTTGTTGTTCCTGCTACACCAACAGTGACTAATTCAGAAGTCCTTTTTTGTTAAACTAAAAAATAATTAGAAATTTGGGGTTTAATTGCGGTTGGCATTTTGGAGCTGGCTGCCAGAAAGCAGCCATCTTGGTAAAGGATGATGTCATCTGGAAGACTTGGAGGTTTCACTTTATTCCTGGGTACCAGTTTTCATTAGCCATTGAATAACTGTAATCATTAGGCTAAATTTAGTTTTAAAGATAATGGAGGAGCTGAAATAAAAATCGTTAAAGCCACTTCTTTATCCTTCCTAACACATTATAAACTTTCCCTAAAGTTCAAAGTAATAGAAAAAACTTCACCCCATTTTCCCTCTATATTTTGTTTCCATGTGTTTGTTCTTCTGTTGACTAAGCTTGGGTAATAAAACGAGTCTGGTCGGTTTCATTTTCTGATTTTCATACATAAGTGAAAGCTGTTTTGTGTCTACAGTGTGAAGTGTTAAGAATCATCTCACCTGCTGGGCCAATTTCCTGTAAGCCTTTGTTTGGGAGGGGAGAAGGGGAAATGCAAGTTTTGATTTTGAATTTCTTATGCTTTAAAACTAGAACCCCGAATTAGACCACACTAGCATAATTAATCTGTGTTTAATTTTGACCTACTTAAGTTTTCTAGGAGTGGGCGAGATGATGGGAAAGAGAATGATGGTTATGTTGCATTCCCACTTAATCATCACTATTCGTACAGCAGAATGCTCTGCCTGCAGTTGCTTTGGAAAACTGGCCCTTAAAAGAGATGTTTTAATCCACAAAAATTGTCTTTTTTTTTTCTTTTTGGATTAGATAAATGTTACTGTCTTAATCCTATTGCCCAACAGGTCCTGGCATTGTCTGCAAGATGCAGAGAGAAAAGAAAAAACTTTCACCTTGTTTAGACAATTGAGCGCAGGGTGGTTTATGGGGTTATTAGGAGGAGTAAAGAGGGCGGTGTGTCTCTTCTGCAGATCTTTTCTTAACGAGGTTAACCTGTGGCTCCTGTCTCGTCCCCCTCCGTTCCTTGAAGGGGAACTTTCTGTTCTGTGAGCGCTATCCGAAGCTTCCTTCCCGGGCAAGCTCACTGAGAGATCAAACTAAAAGGGCTGTGTGTCTGTTTGAAACAGACAGAGGGAGACAGGAGCACACACGGTCAGCGGAAGATGGGGCCACGGAGTCGGCGGGGGCTGGATGCCCGAGCCGGGCTGACCTTTCCACGTGTACCCAGCACCTGCGAGGCTAGTGGGGCATTAGGTTTCTTTTTCCCAGGAGCGGGCGCGAGCCCGGAAGAGGCTGGGCGGCCGCGGGCTTAGGTCAGGGGGCTGGGAGGCCCTCCGTCAGAACACGTGCGGCTGGCGAGCGGCTGGTGCGGAGGCTGGCCTGGCTTTCCCGCCCCGGCCGGGCCAGCGCCTCCCCAGCCAGCCGGCGGGCGCCAGGAGGGCGGCGGCGGGTGAGTCTCGGAGCTTTCCGCCGGCTTAGCCGAGCGGCCTAGCGAGCGCGCCAAGCCCGGCTGGAGCGAGCCCCAGTGCAATACTGCCCGAGCCCGGGCGGGGTCTCTGTTCTCTGGCAGACGAGGTCCCTTGGCAGCGGGAAGCTCCCTCTCTTTCTCTCGCCGCCGCTCCGAGTCTGCGCCCTGGTGCCAGGCGCCCAGCTCGGCGCTCCCCTGTGCTCGCCCCTGCGCCCACTCATTCGCAGCCCAGCCTTCGCCACCGCCGCCTCCCTGCTCCTCCTCCTGCGTGTCTCCCCAGCCCGCCGCGGCCATGGCGGACAGCGCCAGCGAGAGCGACACGGACGGGGCTGGGGGCAACAGCGGTGGCTCGGCCGCCATGCAGTCGTCTAGCTCGTCGACCTCGGGCGGCGGCGGCGGCGGTGGCGGCGGAGGAGGCGGCGGCGGTGGGAAGTCGGGGGGCATTGTCATCTCGCCGTTCCGCCTGGAGGAGCTCACCAACCGCCTGGCCTCGCTGCAGCAGGAGAACAAGGTGCTCAAGATCGAGCTGGAGACCTACAAACTCAAGTGCAAGGCGCTGCAGGAGGAGAACCGCGACCTGCGCAAAGCCAGCGTGACCATCGTGAGTGCCCCCCCGGGGTGCGCCGCGGTGCTGACCTCCGCCCGCCCCTGGGAGATGCTGCCTCCCGACCCGGGGCAGCCCCCGGGCTATTCTAGGCTTCCGAGGACCAGCAGCGAGCACACTCGCTGCCAAGACCCGCCGGCCCCGGAGGGTGGAGGGAGTGGGAGGTGTCCCTTCGGGTCCGCACTGGTCTGCCCTCCCCGGGGTCCAGGCCCCTCGCGGGGTGCGGGAAGAGGCTGCTGGGACCCCCCCCCCACGTTCCCTAGTCGCCCCTTGGGGAGGAGGCTCCTCCGGGAGGAGCTGGAAGCTGGCGGCGTGGCTGGGGGGGGGGGGCGGGGTGGGACTTTTTTCAGTCCTAGTTTGCTTGAGGGGTGCGTCCAGATCGGGGAGTCCTAGGCTGTGGGAGAGGCAGGAAGCCGGGGCCTGTTCCGGGGACCTGGCCGAGAGTGCGGGGGGTGTGCAGCTGGCCTGGGCACTTGGTTGGCATCAGGACAGCGCTAGCTGGATCGCCCGGGGAGGGGGCGGGAGAGAGTGGCCGGGAATCCGGGAAGTGCAGTTTTTCTGGCCAGGATCGAGAGGGAAGGGCGGGTACCGGAGCTGATGCTCCCACCTCCGTTGGAAGTCCTTTCCTGGGTGGGGGGTGGTGGCGGCCGTGTACTGCTGGGAGAATGCAGCATCTTATACCGGCTTGGACAGAGCGAAGGGTATGGAGTCTGGACCGGCTGAAACCAGGGTGAAGGGGATCGGCTGACTCCCTCACCGAGCAAGAGGGAGTTGTTGTTGTTGTTGTTGTTTTGGCGTGTGTTTGCTTCCTTGGCGGTGGAGTGTCTGGGGGATATTTTGGTTCGGCATCTAGATACTTGACGGGAGAACGGGCTGTCTGTTCTGTTTCCACCTGGTCCCCGGAGGCTCCCGCAAAGAGGATAAGATTAGGTGTGTAAGTCTCGCTTCTCGTGTAGCAGGCCTTTAGAAAGGCCACGATTAGCTGTGATGAGGCGAAACATAACTGGGAAAAGTGCAGTGTGTGCTCTCACCTACTATCCCTGCCGGCTAGCCAACATCATTAACATGCAGAATCCCCACACAGGCAACCCTGTTAGATCAAAACAGTTTCCCAGCCCGGAGGAGAGAGGAAAATGTCAAGAAACCGAGGGGATGAATTGCCATAGTTAACTCCACAATAGCTGATTAGGTTGAACCTTCAGATGCAGAAAAAATCGTGAATTCGGGGATGGTTGGAAGATCACAGCTCTGCAAAGGAAATGCGGCAAGTTTAGGATGCCCCTGTACCAGAAAGTCCTCAGTGGAGGACGGACCGTGTGTATCCACGTGCCCCACCCCCGCCCCGTCCTGGCTCGCACTTGGGGACTGGATGGCATTCTGAATTTGCTTAGAAAGCAGGTTTTCACCAAAGTTTCATTGTGATAGGCAGCCTAAATAGAAATTGATTGCTGAAAGACACCCCGCATGCTCCGATCCAGCTCTGGTGAATGGCATTGAAGCAATATTCAGACTGTCAAGTTCTTGAAGTGCCCTTTTGGTAGGATGGGGAGGAATTTGCAGAGGCAGCCACTTCCAAGCCTCTTCTGGAGCCTTCTTGGCTGAGAGAGATGTCTTTGGTGAGTGGAGGTTTGAGAAGAGGGGGAAGTTGGTGGAGGCAGTTTATTTAAGATTGGAGTTAGTAAATGAGAGGGTTAGTCTGGTCTCTTGGAGAATGTGAACCACTGAAAGTAGTGAAACTTGCATAAAATGGAATCTCTGACTTCTTGCATACTGTGAGCAATTCAGGCTGTTTTTGTTTGGGAAGGAGGATGGCGGGGTGGAGAGACTATGAAAGGGTTAGCTGTTTGACACTTGACCATATTAAAAGTAGGTCTGTAAATTGTACACAGACACATTCATTCCTGGTGTGTAAGATCACAGGCCACTGAACACTTGGCATGAAGAGTTGTGTGAGGTGGTGGCTTCATTGGAACTTCCCTCTACTAAAACTGACATCTCACCAAATACACTTTGTGAAAAGTTCTGCGGCCTCACTGAGTCAAATTTTAAAATTGTTTCGGATGACAGCCTATAGGTACCAGAAGACTCTCCATTCTTTAATCTCTGATGAATATATTCAGGGAGATAAATAAAAAGTGCTTGTGGTGTATTGAGTTCCCTAATACTTGGCAGGTGTTACTCAGGCAAATGCAGAGGAGAGATTCCTTTGAGCGATTTGTTGGAGTTGACTGACTTAGGACACAGATTGTGGTGAGTGGGTATGACCTTTAGGGTTTGTAATTTGGGAGGAAAAATGTGTGACTACATGAAGTAAGTCTGTGGATGTAAGGATTCCATTGAACAACACTGTGCCATAGTCTGTGTCAAGGTTAAGCTGCATGAAACTTGCTGCTAGCAATCCAGGAAGTTTGTGAAAAGACTTAAATATTAAGTGAAGGCCTTGGTAGATTTCTCACTAATTTTATTTGAAGAGAAGATGGTGCCAGAATCCTATATTTGTCTTCATGGCTCTTACTAGTAATTCTAATTATGATATTAACTTTAATATTTTTGAGCACAGAAGGTGATTGTAGATGTCTTTTCCTTGCTGATCATCTACACCCTGGGAAGAGAGAGGTGTTGCTTTTTGGGGGGTGGGGTGGGGTGGGGTAGTTTTAGTTTAGCAGCAAACTTAAGCAGAAGGTACCAGGAAAATACTCCCTGCCCTTCCTCCCCTCCTCCATTATCAACATCCGCCACCTGAATGGTGCATTTGTTACAACCTATGAACCAACATTGAAACAACATAATCACCCAAAGTCTATAGGGTTGACTCTTGGTGTGGTTCATTCTATCGGTTTGGGCAAGTGTCCAGTGAATTGTAGCACCATGATAGTGTACAGAGCAGGTCCAGTGCCATCAAAATCCCTGTGCTCAGCCTTTTCGTCCCTCACTAACCCCTGGCCACCATCAGTCTTTTTTTCTGTCTTCCATCAGTTGAGTTGCTCAGTCGTGTCCGACTCTCTGCAACCCCATGAACTGCAGCATGCCAGGCTTCCCTGTCCTTCACCAACTCCTGGAGCTTGCTCAAACTCATGTCCGTGGAGTCGGTGATACCATCCAACCACCTTGTCCTCTGTCGTCCCCTTCTCCTCCTGCCTTCAATCTTTCCCAGCATCAGGGTCTTTTCCAGTGAGTCAGTTCTTCACATCAGGTGGCCAAAAGCATAGTTTTGCCTTTTCCGGAAAGTCATATAGTTGGAATCATGCAATCTGTAGCCTTTTCAGATGGGCTTCTTTCATTGAGTAAGATGCATCTAAGTTTCCTCCCTGTTTCTTCCTGGCTTGGTAGCTCATTTCTTCTTTCTTTCTTGGCTGCACTGAGTCTTTGTTGGAACACATAGGCTTCTCTAGTTGAGGTACAGGCTTAGTTGCCCTGCAGCATGTGGGATCTTAGTTCCCTGACCAAGGATTGAACCCACGTCCTGTGCATTGGAAGGTGGATTCTGAACCACTGGACCACCAGGGAAGTCCCTCCTTTCTTTTTAACTTTGAATGATATTTCTTTGGCTATACCACAGCTTACTTATCCATTTACCTACTGAAGGACTTGGTGGCTTCCAAGTTTTGGCAGCTGTGAATGAACCTGCAGTACACTTCTGTGTGCATATTTTGGGGGTAGACAGAAGGTTTCTGCTCATTTGGGGAAGTAGGAAGGAGCTAATTGCTGGTAGTACGGTGAGAGTATTTTCATTTTGTAAAGAAACTGCCAAACTTTTTGGAGTGACTGTACCATTTTGCATGCCCACCAGCAGTGATGAGAGTTCCTGTTGCTCCACATCCTTGCTAGCATTTGCATGTTATCTGTCTTGGATTTTGTCCATCCTAGGAGGTGTGTAGTGATATCTCATTATTGGGCCCTCATTTTTTAAGCCAAGTCCAAAGGCCAACAGAAATTCTTAACCAGCAGTCATTTCTGTTTCTTTTGGTATGTAGGTGCTTATTCTAGTTAAGCTACCCTTTTAATAAAGGACCGGTTTCATGGTCTGTGTTCGCCACATCTGTATGATAGAGGTAAACATCATCTGTGGGGAAGAATCAACTGTACAAGACCTTTCATTCTTGTCTACCAGTGTCCACTGCCACAGCTTTCCCCTGGTGTGTTTTATTTGGGTTAGTGGTGGAATGGAATGTTTTGAGTGATTATCTGATTTCTCCCAGTAAGTCAGCAGTGGAGCCAGACTGCTGATTATCAATCATAACTTCTTCTTTGGAGTAGAGAAAATAAACAAAACAAAACAAAAATTGCTCAGTTACACTGTTGAGTAGCTTTTAGATGTTAGGCTTGATCTTTCTGACTTGTCCTGTGGGTTAAAATGTAATAGGAGATTGTCTGAGTCAACGTAGTGAGAGGAATCCAGGGGTCGTGGTCTCTGGAGAAGATGAAATGTAATTGTGGGCAGTAATTGAATGGCTTCTAAGTTATGGAATAGTTTCTCAAAGTATAAACAGGGTCTTATTCCTGGATGCTAGTTCACCAAGGTGTGTTTTCTGGACCAGCTCAGACCTTTGCCATATGTTTGGTTTGGAAGTAAAGGCCCATGACAAATTACTAGAGTTTAAGTGTCTTTTTCTATCTATAATATTAGTCTTTCATTATAGAAGTTGAGGGAAACAGGAATACAAAGATCTTTTGAAGTTACAGAAGAAAAACGTGTTGGTATGGCATTTAGATTAGAAAACTTGGCTGTTTTAAATATCAACAGTGTAAAAAATAAATAAATAAATATCAACAGTGTAACAATTTCATTAACCAATAAAAGCTACCATATAGTTAATGTTGTGGATTTCAGATTATTTACTCTGGATGCCCAGTACACTATTTTCCATTGCTTAAGATTTTGTTTTGGCAGATTATGAAGCTGTCAGATCAACATTGCCCTTATAAAAAGGTGTAGTGTGTGACTTTTTTTTTCCTTGCTTTAATTTTTTTTTCCCCCTTAGATTCTAGTTGAAAGC